TGGCACATTCCACTTTATAAAGAGGAAAGGAGAGGTAAACGTTTGACTATGATGATGACGTGTGCTGTATACAGGTCTGTAGTTAGAACTTACAACAACAAGGAGTGTCACTGATTCAACATGCTACAACTTTCTTACAGAGAGACATCAAACCTATATCGAATGGGGTAGTAAGCTGTCGTGGTAGATGCATTATTTTAGTGAGACCACAGCAGACAGGAACTATTTTTAAGGGCTTGGTAACACACTTTTATTTAAAAGAAAGCACATAGTTCACAAATGAGTTATTTCCCATGCAGGGGATCTTCTCCAACTTTAACAGAAATCCATACACTGGAAAATGCCAAGCCACCTGGCTCATAAGCTCACTTAGCTTCAATTGCAGTATATCTCCTGGATTCTTGCCTCTTTAGCCTTTAGACACAGTGCCCTGTTTTAAGGCCCACCTCTGACCTATGGATGGGATTCTCCTGACACCTTGATAGGATCTAGGGTTTCCACCTCATCCCTTTAAAACCTCTTTAAGCATTATGATGTTTTAGCATGATAAAGCTTGTCGATCAGAATGAGAGCCAGGCAACTAGCATTTTCTGAATCAGAGTTCAGCAGTAGCAAATCAATCCCCACATTTCACTTATTGCTGGTGTCATTTACAGGAGCTTGTACTAGGGTTGCTGCCTCATCCCTTTAAAACTGAACACATATTAATTACACAGGTTCTGTGGCAGAATAAGGTGGTAATTACACTCATCTAGTGCCTTATCTGCAATAGATTAGCCTCAGAACCTGTGTAAATAATGTGTTCAGTTTTAAAGGGATAAGGTGGCAACCCTAATAGGATCTGACATGACTCCTAGAACTGAGGCCTCTGGCTGGGTCCTCAAACCCCTCAATGAGACCTTCCATCTCCCACACTGGGAACGGACTCTAAATGGGAGCCTTAAGCTAGTCTCAGATCTGAGTATATAACGACACCTCACAGCTGTGTGCTTCAGATTGCAGGTGTCTAGCAAAACCCGGACAGAGTATAGTTCTGATCCGAAGCTGCAGAATCCAGAGAAAGCCCAATCTGCAGCTTTCTCTGCCCAGAAACACGAGTCTAGAACGTCTCCTTCACCCTAAGGCTAGGTTCACATCTCTTCAGGTGGTGCCGCTGCAGGTCCGCATGAAAATCCGTGCAGCCACACCACCCGCACAGTGAAATGCCATTAGTTCCAATGGCATGCCACCACACTGGAAAACGCAACTGTACTGGGAACCGAGGTTCCCCTGCGTGCTGCATTTTCAGAAGAAGTGCAAGGACTTCTTCTCTGCATGTCACAGGCACAGGAGTCCATTCAAATGAATGGGCTCTTGTGCCCATGCAAAACACGGCCCACACGGCTGCATATATGTGAACCGGGGCTAGATGAGAATCCTGTGTCACATTTTCCTATCTTCTTACACTGACAGAGTCTCGTCCTGTCACGTGGCTTTATATATTCATCTGCAGGGAAGCTTTGGAGCCAGGTCACACTATCACATTGAAGTATCGTGGGGCATTATGTTACGTTTTCCATACATGGATTGACCCAATTCCGTCTGATTCCTGCTAAATCAACCAAAAATCATGTCATGGTGGACCAGTTGATACTGACTCAGCAGAAGTTTATTTTTCCATTCAACGTTTGTTGAAGAAGATGGCTGTTGGTTTTTACAACTTCCCGTGGAATAGCTTAGGCGGGTTTGGACTAGGGTTGCCACATCATCCCTTTAAACCTGAACACATATTAATCACACAGGTTCTGAGGCTAATTTAGTGCAAATAAGGCACTAAGTGAGTTTAATTACCACCTTAATTAGCCACAGAACCTGTGTAATTAATATGTATTTGGTATTCAAGGAATGAGGCGGTAACCCTAGTTCGGACTAATGCCCAAACATGCCTGAGTTCATGCCTACCTGTATCCAATTTGGTAGTCTTTCAGCCACGGGTGCCAGCTGTCAGAATAGAAAAAGCAGAACTGCAGATTTTTCCATCCACGGTTTTTTAGTTTTTCATCCACGGTTTTTTTTTCTTCATGGATTAAGAAATTGAGTGGCTTCTCTCATTTGGCCCAAGAGGATGAAAAAGAGAAATCTTAAGCTAGCCATATACCAATAGATTTCTTTCATTCAGCTTAATGAAAGAAATCTATTTGATTACTCTCTCCACGCTAAATAGTGTAGAAGGAGGAACCTCCCACTGAGGCTATTGTATTCTGTATAGCCAAACAGTACCTGCACCTGACCGGATGCAGTCACCGTTCAACCAACAGTTTTCCACCCTACTCCTTTAATTTCTCAATCAAAGGCTTTTGAGTAGAGTGGCGCATTAGGAACTGGCTGAAATTCATCCATGTATGGCCAACTTTACAGTGCAGTGAAATCTCTGTGCATTGTAGTGCAGTACACGGCAGTAGCCTGAAATCTGATTTATGAAACAAAAGTGGTTGTAAAGGCTCAATGTTTTTTACCTTCATGCATTCTATACATTAAGGTAGAAACCTTCTGTGTGCAGCCCCCCAATACTTACCTGGGGGCACTTGGCAGGAGGAAGGGGCCAGGTGCACCAGCGGTTAAGCTGAGAAGAGTAGGATTGGGGCTGCTATGTGCAAAACCACTGCACAGAGCAGGTAAGTATGACATGTTTATTTTTTTCCTTTTAATTGCCGTTAATGTCACTATATATATATACACTCCAGCATATTTTCTTGCAACGGTTCCCTTTAATTTATGTGTGCTACACTAAATAGGACTTGCTCTTTCCCTTCATAGTAGCAAGGGGGAGGGAGAAAGAGTACATTTAAAGGAAACCGGTACTAAAAAATATGTAATCTGCCATTGATGATCTCCCTGGAGCTGGTCACTGACATGTAATAGGCATGCAGCAAATGTCATGGTAAGGTCAGAACTCATGTTCCAGGTTGATGTTTTAGCATGCATAAAGCTTGTCAATCAGAATGAGAGGCAGGCAACTAGCATTTTCTGAATCAGAGTTCAGAAATAGCAATCCCCACATTTCACTTATTGCTGGTGTCATTTACAGGAGCTTGTACTAGGGTTGCTGCCTCATCCCTTTAAAACCGAACACATATTAATTACACAGGTTTCGTGGCTAATTAAGGTGGTAATTAAACTCACTTAGTGCCTTATCTGCATTAAGTTAGCCTCAGAATCTGTGTAATTAATATGTGTTCGGTTTTAAAGGGATGAGGTGGCAACCCTAACTTGTACTTTTAAACAAATAAATGTGCTTGTGAGCCACCAAGATATACAAAAAAAAAAAAAATATATATATATATATATATATATATATATACTGGATCGCCGGTTATGCTGCCCACTCTCCCTGGATGTGCGTATATTAACCAATAATCAAATTATAACCGCGCTCCAAATTTATAAAAGTGCTGTGTGCTCATAATAAAAAATATGTAAAATAATCACCATTACTAAATTAATTGATATGTCACTTGTGCAAAATAAAATCTCTAATTAATCAATACACCTAGTGTTGATAAATATAAAATATATAAAAATACAAATAAATATATATTATTGGGGAATAATCAATGTTAATTCATAATCAAAGTTCCAATTTCAAAAAGTGCTGAAATGTTCCAACCAAATTAGATAACGCTCTCCTTCCACTGAATGAAATACTTCAATCTTGCAGCTTTGCAATCAGCCTGTATGCTTGTGAGGGATAAACCCTCCTTTGATCCACTCCTTACTCCAATCACTGAATGCTCCTCGTCAATATCATGTAAAAAAGAAAGAAGAAATAGTGCCTTATCCCAGAGATATGTTAAGCCATTTATTTGCTTCCATAATGCACTCACATTTGGTAAAACAACATAACGCTTAGCAATGTAACAGAGCCGCTGTCTGCGGTAAAGATCAGACTAGAGGGTGTGTACTCCACGCTTGTCAGTACTCGCCGTGTCAGATGTGCGGTGACGTCACTGCCCTCCCCAACGCGTTGCGCTACAGGGACTGCGTAGCTTCGTCTGGGGGATGATGTGTCGGAATTGACTATTGAAAACACTATACTAGCAAACAATCAATTAATTGTTCTTCATACGATTTTCTTATTGTGTGTATGGACCTTTTAAACTGGGGCTCTGCACAAGATATGATTGATAATAAAATCACCATCCCACCACACCTTGCACAGCCCATCACCTTTATAATCACTCAGATTCCCACTTTTGCTCCCTGAGTACTCAGTAGCCAAATCCAAATGCTGTTTTGTGGGCAGTCTGCATGCCATTCATTGTGCCAGCCGTCAGCAATTCTGGATATTGCACCCTCATAGGACAGCACTGGAGTCTGGCTGTTGGCCACTTAGGCACTAGACGCTGCATTGTGGGGAAGCAGATGGCATATCACTTTCTCCTTCATACCTGATTTGGAATATAGACACTGAAGGGTGCCTAAAACAAGGTTGGGACAATGGGTTGAGTATTTATTTTTCTGATTGGTGTACTTTCATTTAAAATACTTTCAATGCAAGGCAGCTATCTGCAAAAACATTTATAGATTTGGTAACAATGAGTACCTGGTGCAACACTTTAATGGATAACCCTAACAAGTATTCATTGGACACATTGGCTTTTCATCTGTCCATTCTTCCACAAAGATAAGCATAAGGAAGACTAGAGTCAGGGATGGCTGTTGATTGTATAGACATGCATACCAGGCAATATGCACTGAGAGACAAATGGTAAAGCATGAGAGTCGGTGGTGATTCCAAGCTTGATATTAACAGAAAAATTCTAAATCTGCATAATAAATTCAGTTGCCCTTACCTCTGGCTCTACTGTATTTTAGAATTGAGCTTTTTTCATTATATGCTTCGTTTGAACTAGCCAGACTTCAAACACAGAACATTGTGATAATGTTTGTTTTATCAGCTTAGTTATCTATTTATTTAAACTGGTCAAATAAAGTGAGTAAATAACAATTATATTTGTTTAAGGTCAATTGGCATTCTATCACTTGGGAAAGAGGACAATGAAGATCATTCAAGCTTGGTCTCCTTTTACCTTGGCCATAGAGCTAATGAATATCACACACAAGAAAACCCAGATCTCAAAGTCTACCAAGGCATTGTTCTGGGTCATGTCCAGGTAGTGGTGTATGAATATTCTGACTGGGTAAGTGTTTCATAATACAAGACAGCCTGCATTCATTACTCATTAATGATGTTTATGTCCCAGGATACAAATGTAGAACTTTCAAAGCTTAAAGGAGACGTACAGCCAAAGCTCTTTTGTCTGTACTTCTCCTGTGGATCACAGGAGTGCAGTTTGTTCTGCACTCCTGTGACCCGTTTTCAGCTTACAGCAGACTGATGCCCACTGTCGGCTGATGCCACTCAGCCAGTCCAGGCTGAGGAAAGATCCCGACTTCGGAATCCACCCTAGAGTCTGGAGCAGCAGTCTGCTCAGCCTCTCAAGGACCTGCTGGGTTCTTACACTTAGACCCGGGGGTGGGGGGGGGGGACAGATCCAGCATCTAAAGGATGCAGCATCTCCACCTAGGTAAGTATGATTTGCAAATAAAAAAAAATCCCATACTTCTCTTTTAACACCTCTGACAGCAGAACTGAAAGTAATGTAATAATGACCTAACTTATTTAAAACATCCTTGCTGTCCCTGAAGTCAAAGGCTCTGCCGCTTACTTTGAAATGTATGTTGTAAGAAATATACAGTATAGGCTCTCATTGTCAATTTTGCTTCTGAAAGTGCTAGGTGTCCATTTGTATCTGGCTTCCATATTTTCTGCATCACTTAAAGAATAATTCTATTGGCATATTATACATGGTTATGTTGGTGTACCTTGTTGGATTTTCTCCAGCAACTCTCTCATCTGAGAATAATGTTCACATGACGAATGAGCACTTCTCTCTAAAAAAAAAAAAAAAAAAAAAAAAAAAGCTGAAGATCCTTTAGAGCAGAAGCTATCTTCATCTGAAACCAAAAATGGTTCCTTTTATTCCCTTCAGAACCTGGTGGGGGCAAAGTAGAAGTCTTCCTTTTGGAAGAAATCCTGGAACCACAAGCCTGCTAAAATTGGTAAAAAACCTTCCCAATGAAGAAGTGCCCCCACTTCTGAAGGACGTGTAGAAGGATGTGTGGCAGCCTTTGTGGTTGTATGAACCCAAGATACCATATCCCTGATCTCTGGGTTAAAAAAAAAAATGGGGGGAGATTTAATTAAACTGGAGCAGAATTTGATGCAGCTGTGCATGGTAGTCAATCATCCTCTAACTTCTGCTTGTTCAATTAAGCTTTGAAAATAAGTCCTGGTTCACACCAGTACGACTTGTCATGCAACTTGACAGTTGCCAATTATGGCAATAGAACCGTTCAAACTTTGCAAAAAGGTCCCTGCACTGTTTTTGTGTGATTTCATTACAACTTGCATTAACATCTGTTTATTGAAGTTGCAAGCCACAATGAAAACGCATATTAAAATTGCACTGATCGTCGTCTTTGAAATTGCGATGAAGTATGAACCAGGGCTAAAACCTGGAAGTTGATTGGTTTTGATGCAGAGCTGCACCAGATTTTGCACGCTCCAGTTTTAGTAAATCTCCCAATTTTGTCCAGGGGCTACAAGCTGGAGTTTTACTTCTTGCTTTCTTTACAAAAAAACCTTCTCTGCTTGTTGCTATTGCTTTTGACAAAACTGAGGTGGAGCATAACCCAATGGTCTAAAGCTGTGTACACGTTGGCTGAAAATAGGCTGGTTCAGCAGGAACTGGGTGACTTTCGGTCAGTGCGTACAGCTGTCTGTCCAACAGAAGTCAGTCTAACGACCAGCTTGTCGAAAGAACATGCTGGAAAAACAGTATCTGATCTGTGAACTCTGGGGGGGGGGGGTATGAGAGCCTCCCTGTTGTCATAATTCAATAGAACAGCAGAGAAAAACACTGGTTGAAGGAAAAACAAAACTGTCCCCAGACCCCCCTTCCTTATATCAGGCTTCCTAGAGCTCCCCTTCCTTACATCAGGGTCCCCAAAGCCCCCCCCCCCCTGGGTCCCCAGAGTCCTCCTTCCTTACATAAAGGGCCCCAGAGCCCCCTTTCTATCATACAGGTCCCCAGAACCCCCCCTTCCTTAGCCAAATCTTTAAAACCATTGTAAGAATTAACTCTTCTGTGTCATGTGATGTACTCCAAAAAAGGGATTTTACAGGTAAGTAAATTATTCTCTAAATGTTCCCTATGACATAGGAAATCTTCACTGTTTGAGTTCACTTCCACTTTAATCTCTTTTCTGATGCAAATTCTATAACTACTGTAAAGTTTGTCTGTTTTTTCCTCCCCTGCTAGGAGTATTAGACCAAAACTCCTATTAATGTCACTCACTATGAATCTTTTTGTTATTAATGTTTTGTAGGATGCATTTGACAATGACTCACAGGGATCTCAGAACAGACTTCAAGAAACAGATATTGTTGTAATCAAGTTTTCCGTTAATGACAAGGCTTCATTTCTTAATATAAGAATAATTTTGTGCCAGTGATAAAGCAAATCTTCAGCCACAGCTTTGTTCCTGTTATGGTACTGGCCATTGGTACTAGACAAAATGGTGAGTGCTGCTGAGTTTCTTACTGTATTTTTTATCTGGAATATACTGTATTTGAGTTACTAGTAACCTTTGCTGTATATCTTAGGCTGCTCATTGACTTTAGAGGACACATAGATGACCCAGTGGGGGTAAAAAACAACTTTTAAATGCAGCAGAGTGTTCCATAAACTTGCAAATTTTTCCTCATACTGAGAAGCATCCAATGCCCTATTCTCAAGAATGATGATTCTCAGTTTTAACTATCCATCTAACCTCCTGGGCAAATTAATATTTGCCGTCATGTGTGCAGTTTATCTATTTCCTTCCTTTAATTGAATAAGCTTGTTACTAAACCCACAACAGTAAAACCAGTCTGTATATGCAGTAAAGCATGCTTGTTATACTCACTGTGGAACCTAAGGGGTTAATCATCTGTTCTGTGTACAAATGCTGTTTTGATCCTGACTTCTCTGATCTTCCCCTTTTTCCAGTTTCCTCTCTTATCTCCTGATAGGCATATTGTGTGGATACACTCTGCACATGCTCAGTTTGGTGTGTATTGCTATAGAGGTTTTTTTTTTTTTTTTTTTTTGGGAGAGTGCATGTGATCAGCACACGGCCAATCAGCACTGTCCAGACAGAGGTCAGGAGTTCTGCATCCTTCTAGAGCAGAAAGAAAACTCCTCCTACAAGCTTTAACCAGGGCTCTGCTAAACACTGATAGATTTCACAAGACTTCTCTAACTGCTGATGAGAAATGGTATTTAGCAGTCTATATTTACTAAAATAATTTCATTTCTTTGTTCTGCGTACTGTGGGTGACCAGATAGAGAATGCAGGATCATGGGTTTAGTAATACGTTAAGTTAGAATCTCATTGGCTACCATGCACAGCTGCCCCAGATTCTGAGTGCTCCTTTTTTAGTAAATCTCCCCCAGTAAATAACACTCACTGGTGTTAGGAGACAAAACAATAGCTTTATATGCAATGGTGGTTGTATTTTCTCATTGGGGATGATGCCACTGACTGTACACAGTGAACATTGCAAGTGTCTCTGACTCTCACAGAATCATGACAGCAAAGACAATACGTATCTTTTCTATTAATGACAGATCCACAACCCAAGTACAGTATTGATTTCATTGAGGAAATAAATTCTACTATGACTTTACTCCGGAATATGATATGGCAGACTCATGAATATTGATTGTTCATGCTTGTGTTTGAGGAGCAGTTCTGATTAAAAATTAGGCAACTGGATCACTTTATAGTGCGTGCATTTTGAGATATGTGGCTCGGCTGAAACAGTAGGAAACTGCAACTTGCTCAGAAATAGAATACGACAATGTTGTCATGTTGAATGGTGTAATGTTGTCATGTTGAATGGTGTAATGTTGTGGGGCTTTTTGTTGGTGGGATTATATACCAAAGTTCTTAATTGAATACTAACAAAGGTAGAGCGAGATTTACTAAAACTGGATCACTCAGAATGCTGGCTCAGCTGTGCATGGTAGCCAATCAGCTTCTAACTTCAGCTTGTTCAATTAAGTGTTGACAATAACACCTGGAAGCTGATTGGTTACTATGCAGAAATAAAAAAAAAAAACCGCTCACCTAGATGGCTGCTGCACCAATCCCCGCTGCAGTTTCCCCCATCACCTTTAAGACCGAGAACTGAGCGATCAAACATCCCTGATTGCATGCTTTCGGTCCTCAGCCTACAGAGAGCTTGCACTGTTAGTCACCAGCACTCTGCTTTGCCTCTCCAGTACTCACTGGAGCACCAGGCTGTGGAGGGGAAAGGAGCAGTGGCTCAGGCTCTCGGCAGCACAATGAGATTCTGAGACTGTCAGTCCAGAAGTCTAGACAGATCCCGGTCATATGGTTGGGATCTTTACAGAGCCTGGACTGAATCTGTGACTTAAGCTAAAGCCCACTATCGGCTGATAACGGGTCACAGGAGTGCAGAGGAGTAATATAGCCAAAAAAGCTTTGGCCATACATCTTCTTTAAGCAGTAAACATGGCAGCTCAGAGGCGTTTGACCTGCTTTACCGGACTTTCTTTGGACACAGCATGTCCTATTGAGGTGCATTTGAACAGCAAAGTAAAGCAGGTCCAACAAGGCATTTTCAAACAGCAAGCACAACATTTGTTAAAAGAATGCTAATGGATGTGAGCCTTTAAGCTGCCAACACCTTGTGTAAAACCTTCAGCTTTGCAGAACATACATCTTTATATTGTTTTGACATAATTTATCATCTAGTGTGGTGTATAAGGCAAGATAAATACCTGAGATTCTTTGGGCCAAAGTGTAAAGGAAGTTAATATTTAGCTCTGTATCTTTCTCAGCTGTAAACCAAATCAGCAGCTGGTCTGAAATATATTATTGGAATATAGATTTCCAGTTTCTCACATGTATAGAGAGGAAGCAGAATACATTCATGTGCAATCCTGGTATTTGCTAAGATTGTAGAGTTATTATTGTGCTCTTTTATGTTTCAGGGAGTTTGGAGATAACATACTGTAAATCAAACATTCCATTTACATCACAAATAAATGTAGTGGTACATCAGAGACGTAAACGCCCCTTCTCCCAATGGGTACAAAACCATATTTTGACAATGCATCTTTGTATGTTTTAAGCTTGAAGAGCAAGAAAACACAGCATTCCTAATATAGGCCAGTGTCCAATAAACCATGCAATATAGTGATAGTACTAGTGAACAAAATAAAACACAACTGACCCAATTATTATACAATTTTTGTAAATTTGAGAGAATTGGCCAATCAAAATCTTATTGACTATACCTAGGTTTAGACATCCCCATGCATAAAAAGGAGCAATCTACTTATGCAGCAATGACCTCATGCAGATTGACCAATGTATGTATATAATTATTGAGTCAGTAAATGCTGTTTTTTTATAGATGGTCCGTTCTGTACTTGTCCTATGTGCTCTTCAGACAGAGAGATTTCTGTCACTACTAATGAAGGGCTTCAGCTTGCCAAGGAAATGGGGGCAACCTATCTGGAACTGCTGGCTCTGAATTACTTCTATGTAGTGAAATACTTTGGAGGAGTGGTAAGTACATGCAAAGTATATTAATGTCATAATTATCCTGCTGAGACTTTGCATTTGCCATTTCAACCTTTTTATTATTCATAATACAAGCTAGTATCATTCAAGGTCTGTAGAAGGAATAAGCATTAGGGAATTAAAAAAAATCTCGGTAAAAGGGAGAGAAATTATATTTAATCCTATTGTAAGCAACCTAAATGTATTCTAATGTAGTCAGATCAGTTAGCCCCCATTCACACCCAAGAGTTATGTAGCTGGAAGCTGAAAGCCCAGAAACACGCTACAATCCAATCCCCATGCTGTTAACTTTTCCATGCTCACATTTGAGCATTCAGGCACCTATAGCTCATCCTCATGCACACTTGACGTTTTTACAGCGACTGTTTTTTGCTTTTGACGTTTTTTTCTACAGCTAGTAAACCCCCCAGCATGTTATTCTATGTGTCCATGCACACATAGACTGTAATCAATGTTTTTTTTGGCTGGAAAAATTCCCCAGGGCTAGTGGGTTTCTAGAGGAGTTTTTTTAGCTGTAAAAATGCTCTAATGCTAAAAAAAACACAGTAAAACGTGGTAAAACACCACAAACCAGCATGTTTGGACCTTTTTTTGACCAATAAAAACCAACTAAAAAACAGGGTAATAACGGGTAAGGTGTGACAGCTTATTTGTGCCCGCCAGTAGGTAAATTACTACACTTTCTATCTTCACCATCCATCAGAAGGCGCCGTGCTATGCAGCACAAGGGTCTCTCAGCCTTTGGGCTGGGTGTATGTAAATTTATTGTATGTTCTCAGCATTTGTGGTTGTGTTTATTTTCCACATCTAAGTAAAATTCTGTTGTGGAAAAAGCTGGTGTTGGGGTTGCTTTCTCGTCCGTGACTTCACTGTATCCTGGGGAGCCCACCCCGGTACACGGTTTACATTACTAAACCCAGAACAGTAAAATCAGTTTGTATATGCAGTAAAGCATGCTTGGTATACTCACTGTGGAATCTAAGGGGTTAACCCTCTGCATTGTGTAAAAAAAGGCCGTTTGATCCTGTCTTCTCTGATCCTCAGCTTCTTCCACAATCCCCAATCCATCTGCTGATAGTACAGAGCCCTAGAAGGCACTCTGCACATGCTCAGTTGGGTGGGTATTGTTACAGCGTTTTATACTTTTGTGCATGTGGTCAGCACAGGGCCAGTTAGAGCTGTCTAAATAAGGTCAGGTTTCATGCAGCCTCATAGGACAGTCAGAGCAGAATGAAAACTCCTCCTGAAAGGTTAACCAGTATTGGTTGGACACTGATAGACGTCACAAGACTGCTATATACTGCTGATGAGAAAATGTATTTAGCAGTTTATATATACTACAATAATTGCATTTCTGTGGTAAAACAAATGCCCAGCATTTGGATTACATTTTGCACTTTATTAAGAGTTATCTATCATTCACCATTTATCTTGTTTTTTTATATTTAAGTGGAGCTGCTTATCTTTTTATTATGCACTTTTTGTGAATATCTAGCCCATTTGAACATTTACTTGATTCATCACCTATTTATTCCATTGGGGGGCTGATTGCTCAGTCGGGCATTTGTCTTACAATCATTTTAATACTGTTTTTGTTGGTTTTCAAACTTTATGCTTCAGCTCAGCCAGGTGTTTAAAATATGTTAAACGTAGATCAGAAATAAAACATGATCACAGATCACAATAACAGTAAACACCTGGCTGAACTTTAACCACCTCCCGCCCGCCATATAGTGTAATGACGGGCGCAAGGTGGTTCTCTCGTTCTGGGAGGACGTCATATGACGTCCTCCCAATCTAACCGCACATGCGAGGCTCTGGGGAGCGCGCAGTGCATCGATCGGCGGTGCGCTGTGTCCCTCGGACACAGCGGATCACCGATCAACGCAAAGAGCCAAAGATGTCGGCTCGGTCATGTGATCAGCTGTGTCCAATCACAGCTGATCTCATGTAAATAGGGAAATGCCGGGTATCTGCATTTCTCTCCTCACGAGCTGTCACGCTGACCGCTCGAGAGGAGTGGAGAGCCGGTAATCAGCATTCCTCGGAGGGGACATGTACACTGATCATCAGGGCACTGATGATCAGTGTGCCCTGATGATCAGTGTAGCCCCAGCAGTGCCACCTGCCAGTGCCCATCAGTGTCACATCAATGCCACATATCAGTGCCTACCAGTGCATATCAATGCCACATATCCGTGCCCATCTGAGCTGCTTCTCAGTGCCACGTATAAGTGCCTATCAGTGCCACCTAACAGTGCCGCCTATCAGTGCCCATCAGTGCAGCCTATCAGTGCCCATCACTGCAGCCTCATTAACGCACATCTGTAAAGGAGAAATTTTTTTTTTTTTTTTTTTTTAATTTTCAGTAGTTTTTGGTTTGTTTAGCAAAAAATAAAAAACCCAGAGGTGATTAAATACCACCAAAAGAAAGCTCTATCTGTCTCAAAAAAATGATAAAAATTTCATATGGGTACAGTGTTGCATGACCGCGCAATTGTTATTCAAAGTGCGACAGCGCTGAAAGCAGAAAATTGGCCTGGGCAGGAAGGGGGTATAAGTGCCCTGTAGCCAAGTGGATAATAAACACCCGGCTGAGCTATAATAAAAACACCCGGCTCAGCTGAAGCATAAAGTGTAAAAAACAAAAACTGTAAAATATGTGAAACGTACATCAGAAATAAAACATGATCACAATAACAGTAAACATAACTGTGAATATCCTCCTGCACTTGTTGCGGAAGCCACAAACCTCGCTATATACAAAGCTGCTGCCACTTGACTATAAATCAAAATCTATCTAATAAGTAAAGATTGGTGCTATATAGTGATAGCAGTGCCAACACAACAGTGCTCAGTGAAAAAAAATATCGCAAACAAATAAATATCTCATTCAACAAATATGAGTGAAACATAACCTTAAAATTGTGACAAAATTCAAATAATTGTGAAGTGGTTCTTTAAAAAGGAAAAAAGCATCCCGTGTGGCAGCAATGCCTGCTCACCTCCACACATTTACCTGCGCAGGGCCAAAGGGCTATAATTTAACAATACCAGATCCTCTCCACTCCTCATCACAAGGGACCATGGGATTGGATAAAGACCTCTGCCCAGCGCACCTTATTCACTCCGCCTCCACTCGAGGTTACATATATAGGATATAAAGCAAGAAACCTTCCATAGTGCAGTATCCTTTAATTAAAATGTAGATAAAGCTTGGAAAAGCACTCGCATGTATTCCCCAGTAACAATCGCCTGTTTCACAGAATTATTCATTTACACGTTAGGTTTGATACCCAGGAGGGTGTTTATTCATTAGTTTTATTTTTTGGGTCACTAGGGGGCAGTGCAGCATTATTCTTGGGGACCTGTCACAACTAGATACCTGTCCCCCCCCTAAAATAAAGTGCTAAATATGAAAGAGGTGAGGGGGGGGGGGGAGATGCAGATAAATGCAACTTCCCATTTTTGGGTGAAGTTCCACTTTAAATACCAGTTATACTCTATAGTGAAACCCAAGGTCATTAGGGTAAAAGTTACTGCTCAGTACAACACAAGAGGATAGGTGATGTTTAATGTCTTTGTTTTCCTGTGGTTACAGGACCACTCTAGGTGACTGTGATTAAATGCTACTGAATGTGATTCTGAACGAGTCTTTAGGCAACTCCATTACCTACCAGAAAATACTTTCATGTTCATTGTGCTCACTAGAAATGATTAACCAACAGATACTGTTGATTGCACCTTTTTATTTTACCTGTTAAATTAAACCAAAACTGATGACTGCTTTTTACTACCTATTCATTAATTCACTCATCTGTTTGCTTCTTCAAAAATATCAGGGAACCTAATGATAAAAAGAGAAAACAGAGTGTCCCTCTAAGATTCTTTGGCACATGAGAGGATGCAAATTCAAACCAAAACATGCTCAGCTGTGCTATCTGCCGTGAAAAACACCATACAGCATTTAATGGCTATACCATACGGAGGTATCCAGTGGCGCTGTATTCACTGGAGCACTTTCCTCCACTGACTGGCTGGTGGCCAGGCTTATCACAATACTATTATACTATAATACAGGATTTATAGAGTGCCAACAGTTTGCTCAGCACTTTACAATAATAACAGGAGACAATACAGTTCAATACAAGAGGGTTAGGAGGGCCCTGCTCCTTGGAGCTTACAATCTTAGAGATGCTACAGCAAATAAGCAATGTGTTTTAAGGCAAAGCAGCTATTGCTGCAACTCATGAATTTAAATTTGTGTTTAATAAAAGACGGTACCTCTATGTATTTAAATAAGTTCACCTTTTAGACAAAAATAATAAATGCACATTTTTTTGGAAGTAAAAAAAATGTGCATTTATTATTTTTATCTACAGGAGCCTGGAAAGCATTGCACCAGCAATCAGTAGATCTCTGATGGCATGCAGGTCTCCTGCAGACCTGTCAGAATATCTGCTTGCCGTACGGGATGTAAGCAGATATACTTACAGGAAGCTTCAATGAACTACCACGACGCTCCACAGCCCCATGGTAGTTAATTGAAAACTACAAGCCCACAGCCGCTAAGACTGTCGGACTTGCAGTTCATTCATTCATGGAATGAATGATGCGGCTGTGTGGGTAGAGCCCCACACGGCCACGCTGTTTTCAAATATGACAGATAGTATGAGGAGACTTCTCCCCGTATTATCTGTCAGAGGGAGGGGGGCAGCGGGCCGCGGCTGCGGCTATGGGAACATATTACATGTCCCCCTCTAAAAACAGGTGGAACATGTTCCCAAAGATGAACTTAAACTGTGTTTAGCTTGATTAAAATGTATTTGAAAAAAATGTGACTTGACACATTTTTAGAGAGGACCTGTTTTATGCATTGTACATGTGCGTGTATATAATATATACAGTATGTAAGTGTGTGTGTGTGTGTATATATATATATATATATATATATATATATATATATATATATATATATATATACA